ATGCATATATTTATACATATCCCCTGCATACATACATGTACCAGGTTACAGTGTAAAGTATATTTCTTAGGGTGTATTTATTTATGTCATATTTACTTATTGAGCAACTACTTCATGCCCCACACTGTTGCGGGTGCATGGGATATATATCAGAATAAAGTAGACAGATTTGACCTTTTGGAGCTTACGGAGGGGAAAGACAGAAAGTAAACATAATAAATGTTTTAGAAGAAGGAAAAGTAAGGCAGGAGAAGGGGATGGGAGTGGACGAGAAGAGGCCAGTATGGCTGGACCACTGAGCCCCAGAGAGAGAGACAGGCAGAGAGACAGAGAGAAAAACAGAGTGCAGTGAGGAGCCAGGGCCTATGGGCCATTGCTAGGACTTCTTTGGCTTTCACTTATAAAGCAGTCACCCATTGGTGCTGCCTGTGCAAGGTCGCTTGGGACCTAGCAAACACAGGGACCTTAGAATAGCCCTCAGGAAACCAGTTCACTCTAAGTAGAGGATCATCAGATACCATGTACCCAACTGTGAATTACCTTTCCATTTGGCTTCCTGCTTGGCGTAGGAACCTGTGCTTTGTCCCTGCGCACAGCTGGTAGCATACTTAGTAGGTGTTCAATGAATAAACATTGAGTGAAGGGGAAAGGGAAGGAACGTTGGCTTCACTTAAACGCGTGTCTCTACTGGAACGTACTTAACAGTGGATTTGAGTCAACTGCTGTTAGGCCTGTTGGCCTTAGAAACTGAATTAGTATCGACAGGTGTTTCAGAAGCTTCCTAACTGGCCACTTTCACAATATATGCACAGCAGAGGTTTCAAATTTTGTAAGACATGGGAGGGTAGGAATTTTGCTAGTTGCCGGTCAAAATCTTTGCTGTGATTAGATAACATTAGGGTTTAATAAATATTAATTAATAGATACTGCTACCTGACTTGGCCCAAGTAGAATTCATTTTACATAGGTAACTCCCAATAACAAGCCTTTAGCAGTTGCGTGTGTTTCACATGTCTTTTTATTCGTTGCAAAGAGAAAAGGATTCAAGTCAGAGCTCTTAGTCTGAATTAGTCCTCCAAGTCCTTAGGCTTTTATTTAAGAAATAAATTTGGGCAGCAGCTGCCCTGAGCCCTGATTTTTGGAGCATATTGTTGACGAAGGCAGAGAGCTTGAAAATACCCACTGTGAAGTTCACAGGCAGAAGGTGCAAGTAATCGCTTCCTGCTTCCACCCAATTACTGTTGCTCAACCTGCTAAGGACAGCGAGTTTAACAGAATGATGACAGGGTTGGGGAATTTCTGCCTCACTGACGGTTGAGGGGCAAGGGGAAGCAAGGGTCGCCCCATCGTGCCAGGAAATGTGCAAATAAGGCCTAATGGTTCCCAGTCAGACACAAAAGGGCCCTGGACCGTGTTCATCCAATGCAGCTAACCACTAACACTGATTCCAATAAAAATTTCCGGTTTCCTCCTCAACACATGTGTCTGTTGTTTGCCTAGAGAAAACCCAGGTATAAAAATGACAGTGTCTCGCCATTGTGTTTTTCATTTCTGACGGCATTTTGGCCTGGCTGCGGATGTTTTTTAAAAATCGTCCTTACAATGTTCCCGCCACCGCTCGCATGCGCTGAAGGAAGACCCACACCCCCATTGCCGGGGAGAGGTCTCCAAAAGCCAGGCATTGAGGGGGGTTCGTGTGACCGAAGCAATGAAACATGTACATGGTTTTCTTGAACATTTTGAATGCTGTTGTTTGTTTGTTTTTTAACAATCGATGGTATCCTGTTCATTTCTGTGAGTCTTAATTCTCTATTCCATTGTGGCATTTGAATGTAATGAAAGCTTATATTTAAAGGAAAAGTGGTTATTTCTCTGCTTATTTTGTCATCATATATCCTGGGGATAATACTGGTGATCCATCTTTTAGAGTCAGTATGAGGAATAAATGAATTAATATTCATTAAGTGCTTAGACGGTGACTCGTACATGGTAAGCATTCAGTAAAAGCTAGCCATTGACAGAGTGGGGGGGAGGCATCTGGGAAGACTGCCTAGAGGAGGCGGCATTTGGCCTAGGCCTTGAAGGATGAGTGAAATCTGACATTGAGCAGATGGGAAAGCATTTCAGGCCAGAGGAGTCAGATGTGTGGGAAGATGAGCATGAAGTTTACTTTGGCTAGAATAGAGAGGGAGTGCAGGGAGCTGAAAAATTAGGTTAGACGCTACATGAGGAGCCCCGAATGCCACGCGGAGGTGTTTAGACTTGATTTCCTAAGCTGTGGAGTTCCAGGGAATTTTGTGAGGGAGAGACAAGACCGAAACTGTAAATTAGGAAATTTGATGAGCTGGGGTTGGATAGATTCTCTGAGGGAAGAGAGAACTGGAAACCTGGAATTTTAATTCAGAAACAAAAGTAAAAGCAATAGGCTGGGTCAGGAAGGTGAAGAAAGGGTCTTCCCTAGCTGACATGGATGTAAACATTGGGTCATTTCTTATTAAATGAAGTGAAAAATTTATCTTTAAAAAACCTGTACTTATATTGGATTGTTGCCATTTTCTCTTGGTAGTAATTAGGAAAGGGTGGGAGGGAAGTCATTAACTATTCCATTTATTTTTAAAAATCCATGACAACTTCCAGTTTTTACAATTTTCTGATTCGAATTTCTACAGAAACAGCAGGTTAAGTTCTCACTTATTATACAGCCTAAATTTTCATGAATGGACATTTTGCCAATGTAAAATAGATATAGGCTTAATTATTTCCCATGGTTTCACATCTAAAAGATAGGTTCTTGTCTATTTCAGGGAAAGGAAAAGGAAAGATAAAATTACAGGATCTCTGCAGTTCTTGAAAGCATTGCTTTTAAGCCATTGTCAGCCTTTTAATTCAATTTTCTCCTGGAGAAGCAAATCTTCACCTGTTCACATTGGGTTTTTTTCCTAACCATTGGCTCTAGATAAAGAGTGACAATTTGGACGGAGTTTTTTAGATCCGTTTTGGGGCATGTCATTTTCTTAAGGGTGGAAAACAAGTAAGACTGTCAAGACAGCAGTAGGCATTTACAAGTTCCTGAAGTCACCCAGGTCCCTAAGTGAGTGATCATATGTGACAACACTTCGTAATTTATATGGAAAACATTATATGAGTAAATGTCAAGATTTTTAAGAAAAATAACCCCTTATATCTTTCGTGCCTCTTGGCATAGAGCCATTTTAATAAGAAAATTGGCCATACTCTAAAAAAGTGGCAATGTTGTCTGGTGAGCTGTGTCTAACTAATTAAGGCTTCCGTGTGTGTGCTGTGACCTGGCGTCATGTCTGAGCTAGTGGTTACTTACCAGTTGTTCTAAGTAAAATATTAAGAAAGTAAGAACAATTATTCTTTACCACTCTATTATTGTTCAATGTCTAACAATCTGTTCAACAGAAGTAACCTCTAAATAGTCAGAAAAGTGAGTTATTTAAATTATTTTTAAAAAACAAACACTTAGCTCTTTTTCCCTTTCCATACCTATTTTTCAGCAGGGGCCATAGAGAGAGAGAGAAAAAGTAGTTTCCTCATTCTTTAAAATAAAATATTGAGCTTTTATATATCTTTCCAGCAATAGTTTTCTAGAAAATGTTTATTTCATGATTTTATTTAGTGCTTTCTTAGCTTTTTTCTGAGGCAAGGTATGGATATAAATACATGAAAATATGTTAAGCGCAGATAATTCACAGTGGACAATTCTATTTATTCTTTTATTCAGTGCAAACATTGAGCTTCTTACACGTTTATGTCGCTTGGTCCTTCATCCCTACTTCAGTCCTGAGACTGGTGTTTAATGAGGCTGCTTTCATTATAACATTCATGGCAGTCAACTTCGCCATGTCATTGGTTTCCACTCTGCTGCTATAATTGTTTGTGGTCTGGGTATTAACTAACACATCGGAAGACAGCAGGTTGTTTTCCTCTTTGGCCTGCTCGATAAGGATGTTCCTACCTGCTTTACTGAATTTGAGTGTTCATAATTACTTTTCTCTGAAGGCCAAGGAACTCTTGAAATAATAGGCAAACAGAGCTTTGAAACCATAAAGTTACTAAACAGAATTAAGATAGGCACGTGCGCCAACGTGGGCTGCCATCTGGCTCCGAGGAGAGATGCTCAGTGAAGGTTTGAATCTGGAATGAATGAAGCAATGTTGAGACATTTATAAATGGTGACTAGCTGTAGATACCTAAGAAGTCTAATGGCCTGAAGAAGGTGGAAGAGAAACTGAAAGAATGTTCTCTGTGCAGACAGAAAAACTCATGAATGTGCCCTCACCTCCTCTGTGAGTCAGTTTTAACGGACTGTGACTGGTGCTGGAGTGAGTTTGAATATAATGCGTCTGTTGCTCTTGGCCTTTCTGTTTATCAACACCATCTACCAGATGCTAATCACAGGGGAACAGAAGCTTTATTGGGCAGTTCGGCCTCCCAGGCTTCTGGGACGGACTGCCTGGATGGGGCAAGTTCGACAGTGTGGAGGACAGTGTAAAGGCCTGGGGCTTTACTATGCCTCCGGTGAGGTCGCTGAAGGCCTGTTCCTTGGATCAGGCTAGTTCTCTTCCAGGGCGCCATTTGTATGTGGTGGCCTTCTGTTGATATGGAAAGTAAACCAAGGTAGGCCAGCTGGGCTCGTGAAAATTCATTATGTAATCCCTCAGCTTTCTTATCATGCGCTGCTTCATGACCATTTCCAACCAGAACATAGAAGCAGCACAGAGTGACTTAGTACTGGAACCCCTAATTTTTTTTTAGAGGAAAGATGGTAATTATATACATTTTTAAAAGTCTGAAAAGTTGCACAGAATTTTATACTATTTGAATTAAAGTTTTGGGGTGATTTTTTTTTTTTGGCTTATTTGTTACCAATAGACATCCACGTTCTGCTGTATACCAAAATTAGAATTGATTAAGGAAGAGGAAGCATGCTGAGGTACATGTGACTGACAATTTTGTCCTGTGCTCTATTGCAGAAATTGAAGCCAAAGAAGCTTGTGATTGGCTACGGGCAACAGGCTTCCCCCAGTACGCACAGCTTTATGAAGGTGAGCCGGAAACACTATTTTTTTGAATTCGCATAATCGTCTCCTTAGTTTATAATTATTATGGATCATTGGTTTATTTTCAGACACTTTATTATTTACTTACTTCATGCATTACCACAGCAGTGTAGCAAGCACCTAAGACCCGCACCACTCTAAACAAAAGCTAGGATCTTAATAATGACGCAGGTTGTTTTCCTGCAGGCTCTCCCACTTAGTCCCTCTGCCACCTCCGCACCCATTCGCCATCGTCCTCAAACCTGTTTATCATTTCTTGCTTTCCTTTTATGTGGTTGTATTGCGTTTTCCTAAAACATATTTCTGTGAACTTGTTTTTCCTTTGCCAAAAGCGTATCACGCTCTGGGTAACCTTGGAGGATTTAATATTTTCACTTCTTATATTGAGCTTTTTTCCACTCTGTCCGCCTCCGGTCCTGGGTGTCCCTGTACTGCGTTGACCGCTGTTGTAATGCTCCGCTGCAGGGCCATCCCACGGTTCATTCACATAGACGCTCTGGTGAGCGTTTGGTTTTTCTGTTTTGTTTTTATAAACTGTGCTGTTTTGAACATTCTTGTGTATTCTTGTACTCTTGGCAGTACGTGTGCAGTAACTTATCTTGCATGTATACCTACAAGTAGGATTGCTGGGTAATAAAGAATATGTATACTCAATTTTATAATGCAGGTTTTTAAAAAAATGTACCGGTTTTCTCTCTTACTATGTATTCTCAACACTTGCTATTATCGGACCTTAATGTTTGCCAATCAAATGGATATGAAATTATATCTTACAGAGTCTGACTTCCACTTCCCTAATGATTAATGATATAATGCGTATTTGTTCATATCACTGGCCATGTCTGTTTGCTCGTCTGTAAAACCTGTTGTCAGTTTTTCCTGAGTTGATTGTGCATTTCTTAATGATTTGTAAGAATTCTTTATTCTGAATGCTAAGCCTTTGTTGCTCATGTACTGCAGTTTGTAATGAGGCTTTTCACTTCTTTAGATTGCCATTTGATGAATGTCATTTCTTCTATGGCATTCGATTTTGTAATTAAGAAAAATGGACCTTTTAAAAAAGTAATTAGGATCTAGGCTGAAGTTTTACTACTTCATTTTCTCGTCAGTGCCCGGGGGACCGCTCAGGTGCTAAGGGCAAAGGATGAGGAGCACCTCGCGTCTCCACCCTCCCTGAGCCTTGGCCTGCCCTGCATGGGTAGAGCGCGCCCTGCACAGCGGAATAAATCCGCTGTTCGTTTAAATCAGAGTTGTATTATACTCTATATCAAATCATTTTAAAGTAATTACAGTTGCAAACTAATGAATTCCAATTTAGGAGTAATTTTCAAGCAAAGGTTGGGTAAATAGTGATCCTAAATTGAGAGTAAATTAAATGACTTTCAGGGCTTCTTCCAAATTGAGCATCCTTTGATTCCTTAATACTACTGAGACGGCCAAACGGGGTGACTCATTCATTTATCCCTCATCCAGCCACCCATTCAAGTGATAGAGCATCTAGTATTAATTCTGCACCAACAACGTGAATGCTACATATTTTATAAAAACAAGACATTAAACCTCAAAGGAAAACTTAAGGCATTGTCAAAATCTCAAAAAGCAAACGTAATTTTGGTTGATTTACATTTAGAAATACATCGTTTTGATCAATTAAGAAGGAAGGAGGTGCTATGAGACAGCCCACCATGTCACATAATACCTAAAAGATCGAGCTGAAATGATGTCACTTAAGTTTTTTCCACCAGGGATGTTCACTTTTCTCACAATAAATAGTGATTTTAGCCTTGACCAGTGTGGCTCAGTTGGTTGGGTGTCGTTCTGAAAAGTGAAGGGGGTCGCCGGTTCCATTCCTGGTCAGGGCACCTGCCTGGGTTCTAGGTTCGGTCCCCTGTCGGGGCTTGTATGAGAGGCAGCCAACCCACCGATGTTTCTCAGTCACATGGATGTTCGTCTCCCTCTCTTTCTCCTTTCCTCTGTCTCTAAAAATAAATAAATAAAATCTTTTTTTTTAATGGTGATTAAAAAACTTGTCTTTAGTTCTCTCCTTCTAGCATAATAGAACAAGCCAACTGCTTCCTGTAACAATGGCAGTGGACCCTCTGTTGGAGCTAGGGGTCACTACTGACCTTCTTTAATACATGGGCAAAACCGCATGAGCCCAGGCTAAGAATGGATACAGTACATAAGCTTGGAAGTGCTAGGCGTCATCAGGGTGTTGCCTCGAAGAGGGATATGGAGCTGGGTTGAAGGCCAGGGGGCTCCCCTGGAGCAAACCAGGCAGGGTCCACAGATATTTTTCTTTCCCTAGCTCACTCAGCTACATGAATTCATTACCAAATTTACCATACCTTGTCTTCTTTATTGTAGTCCAAATTGAATGTATGATTTTCCCATGAACAGGCATTCAGAATTATCTTATTCTAACACTATGTAAAATATTGTACTGCTCCTCTATGTCAGAATATCTCCAACTACTTTTCTTTCTTTCTTTTTCTAAGATATTTGGTTAACCTGCGTGTTTACTGGGATGGAGGTGCTTATCTCTACCTGTTACCATGGCGGGTATATCTCAGCCCTCCAGCAGGACTTGTGGGCAGGGGGTGGCTGTCTCCCGGATTTCCAATTCGCAGCTCCACTGGAGATGAGGGAGATAATTGCATTTGCAGTGGCAGTCACCGGGCTGTCCTTTGTTCCTTTTGTTCTCCTATTTAGAAATTAAATTTCCTTCAATTATGTCCATTTTTGGTGTTGATTTGCTGCCAAACAACACTTTCTTGTGATGTGGGTTTGCTGAGACCCAGTTCCAGCCTCTGTCTTAAGGTCTTGGCAAATCCACAGACTGCATTTCACAGGTTACATTTCGGGGTCCCTTCGTGTTTCCAGGTCTTTTTGAAGCATAAGCCTACTTTTGAGGCACATTGTTCAGGGCTATCATTTTTCCCCTTCTTCCTGCCCCTCTGTGTTGGGTGCATAGTACATACACTCCACATACCAGCCCACACATTCCTTGTCTTCCTGTTCAGCTTTATTTTGGTCCTTGGCAGTTTCTACTTCCTGCCTTTAAACCCAAGCTGGAAGTTTAAGTCCTAACTTGAAGAAGTCTTAGAATTTCTATACATCAATAAACCATCATCTTTTAAGAAAGAGTTTAGGCAAATAAGAGAAAATTATTGATTTAATTATCTCACTCTCTTGCTTTTAGCCCCTATCGACCCTAGAATATTTTTTAAAACAGAATTTTAATATTAATTTGAATCACGAAAATAATCTGAAATATAGCCCTGGGTAAACTAAGTTAAGAACTACTAAAATAACATAGTTGCTGTCTAATATACACTTAACAAGCATCTGAGCTTTTTAATTTACATTCACAGATCTGATGTTATACTCTGAAAGTATTCAAAATCTATTCTTTAATGTCAGCGTGGTTATTTAATGCTTAAGAGTTTTGGGCGTCTGTTAAAGTGAAATGCAATGGCACAACCTTTAAACAGCTTTCCAGTCTGCTTTGCTTGTGTTTACTAAGAGTTTACATTCGTTGTAAGCCTCCTCTCCTATTGCTATGTTCGTGTAATTAATCATTTGCTAAGACACTTGGTCTGTAATGTAATAACAGGATATAACCCCACAATACTAAATTTCATATATTTCTTTGTAAATCCTTGGGCTATAGGTACTTCATTGGTTTTCCTATGTTATCATTCAGGGAACAGTATGAGTAATCTAAGTCCAGCCTTCAGAAAAAAAGAATCAACTACAACACTCATTATATTACTTTTTAACATCATTAAAAAAACAAGGTATTCTTAACAGTTATCTCTAGAAAATAAATTACTCATGAAACATTCTGTAATATACAGGGAGGCTCATTATTTCCCCTCATAGCTGGACCTCCGAAGAAGAATAACAACATGCTTTTATCTCATGGCAATTCGAGAGCTGTGGTAAATTTCTAGCGGTGCTTGCTTGTCTTGTCTTCCCTCTACTCCCCTTAGATTTTTCGAGGAAGACTTTTTAACAAGGAATTTAAAAAACTGAATTCCTCCATTGAGTTAGGTCTTTCTCCCTTTTCTGCTCTTCAGTTCTGACAAAACTCCGTATTCTAAGAGTGCTGAATTCTTCTACAGAGTAAGGGATTTGGGATTCTCTTGTTCTACAGCAGCTTTGTAGCTGGCCTTCTGTTTTAGGGGGAGTTACATAAACTCCTAAAAAGCCATATAGAAGTGCTAGTATGTATTTAAAAATAGCTTATGGTGAATTCTCTTTGGCTTTTGATGTTATGCAAATGGTTAGATTTGGTTTACCACCACTTGCCATTGCTCTCAACATCTTGCCTTGACCCAGTTTTCCATGACCTCTTCCCTGGTCGAATGTGAGCAAAAACACACATTTAAAAAAAAACCAAAAACCCAACCACAGTAAAAGGAATCATCCTTCTGGTATTCATTCTAGCTTAAATTATAATTTATAGCATGAATCTATTGCCTGCTGATTTGTTTAAAGGTGGAAGAGTGTTTGGAACCACTTAACTTTGGCCAGAAGAGAGACTTAGAGACTTTAGTCTCCAAACCACTTCAGATTCTAAGCTCCTTTAGGACACTAATACAGAAGTATCTTTAACTGCTGTATTCCCCCATAGCACTTGATAGGGAATGAAGTGTTTGTTCAGCACACAGTAGGTATTCAAAAATAGTTTGGAATATTCTTCCCCCCACCAACCCCTGGTGAACGTAGGGTGCTCGATAAATGTATTTGCTTTTATGTTTCTGTGTATTTGTCTTTTCAGATCTCCTGTTCCCTATTGATATTTCCTTGGTCAAGAGAGAGCATGACTTTTTGGACAGAGATGCCATTGAAGCTTTGTGCAGGTAAATGGAAATGTTTTGAGCATTTTATTTTATTATATTTAAAAAAGGAAAACACTGGGCTTATCACCGCAATGGTTTTTGTTTGCTTTCTTCCTATGTTAAGCCTTTCATTAGCAAATGAGTATAGTGATTTACTTCATCATAAATCATGGGCCTTTTAATTAAAATAAGTAAAATTCTATTATTTACTGTTGATATTAAAATAACACTGCCCTAGGTAGGAGGTGCTCAGATAATACCATTGCGTACTTGATACTGTAATTACTCAGGCATCTAACTTCCGATGGTTCTGAAACCTGGAACCGGATTTTTAAAAATGCAGTGTAATTGACTGACTGCACCACGCCAGCCAGGTACCCTAAGAGTCAGAGCTGCTGTTATATTAAATGGAAATAACACATTCAGAGGAATAAGTTGGGGGAGGGGGTTATGACATACTGAAGTCAGGAGGATCATTGCTTGAATTCCAGGAAACCTCCTCTGAACCTGTTCTGCTTTTCCAGATACAAAATAGTAGCAACAGTATTAAATTAGGCTGTACCGTAAACCAGCCCAGCCGCCAGCGTACAGTGGCCAGGCAGTAAATGAGCATTGACGTGAACTGTGCATAAAACTGTCAGACATCCTTGCTCATTGAGCTGGTGGATCTCTGGGCTGGGCTTTATCGGAGCAAAAGTAATAAAATACGTAGCAGACAATGACGGGATCCTGATAATCCTTCCAAACTTCATGGCATTTCGTTCATTTTAAGTAATTCACCCTTTGTCATTTTTCTTAAAACCATAAAACCCATAGACCATAAAGCTGGACTCTGGAAAAAATTTATTCATAGACAAAATTCACATGCTGATTTGACTGTAAAGTTAAAATGAATTTCCTTTTAATTTCAGTATTTAACTTGGAAAAACACAACTAAGCTAGAAGAACATACCCAGCATTTATTTCTACTTTGTTGGCAAAGAAAGCAGTAGCATCTCTGTGAAAGTACTATTTCTTTCGCCTTAGGTAGTACAATGGTTTCTGAGATAGCTAACTTATGCAGTGGGTTTAGGAAAAGATACGTAGCATGTTTAGAATGGATGATGGAATAGACTACTTCTCTTGGTTTAAGAAAGAAAAAAACGCCCTATGAGCCACAGAAACACTGTCGCTTTTCAGACCCAAGTCAACGAGTGCTCAGAAACATCGGGCATTTGTGCACATTTTCTAAAAGGAGCCCAGTTCCAAGGCCCACGCCGTAGTGTGTAATATCAGAACTATGTCCTCTGGAATGAAAAACTCGTGCAGTTGAGGAAGGAAGGAGGCAGCATCTGGGATATGAACTGCAGACATTTTTCAAATGTTTCAATGCTTAGCTGTGCGGCAGAATTAATTTATTTTCGATTCATCATTGGTGATAACACAGAGAAATGAGGCCAGTCCTGCGACGTATCCTAGGAAATATTTACCCATTGCGTCACATTATCCATTTCATACGTTTCAAGCCACTTAGTGATTGGGCCCCTGACCAGTAGCAACAGCTTAGGAATTCCTAGGTCATAGGAAATACCACTGCAGCATTGCAGCCCAAAGGGTCATGATTAGATTCTCAAATACTTTTTTTAAAGAAACTTTAATTTGAAGTTTCGTTTCCCAGCTCTGAGGGGTGGGGCATGCTCTCTACTTTTTGATTTCCACCGGTGCTCCTCACCGTGGAGAACCTTACCTGGCTTTAAATGGCAAAAGCTGTGTTCCTAGGTACTTTGTGAAAAGCCTAAAAACAGCTACCACTTGATCTGTGCTTGGATTCAGCAGCATATCCTGACCGGGCTCCGGTTTTCTCTCGGCACAGAATAACATCTCAGGCGACATGCGGCAAGGGAATGCCATGGCCCCTATCAAAGGGCTATAAACCTCACGCCCAGAATGGAGCATGTGGGGAAGGGCTGGAGATTGGGTTTTCTTTAAAAAAGGAAAATATCTATATATACCTATATATTTACTTACTTATATTTATACCTTCAGAATTCACAATAACAGTCATCAACTTGTTTGTCATGGAAAACCCAACGGCTCTTGTTCACATGTTCACATAAATAGACTTTTCATGGAAAATGACTCTTACTGAGAGGCCTACGCAGATACTCCAGGGAAAAACGGTGGGAGCCACGCACAGGGCAGTTCGAGCACCTTTGAAATGCGCTCCAGGTTCTGAGCCGTCCGGCGCGGCGTTGGAGACGCTGGTTGTTCTGCTGATGGGGTTGTGTTCCTCCCAGTTGCTGCCAGCCTCTCCCCTGTCGTTCTCAGCCCTCGGAATTCAGGGGCCAAGCCATGAATCTGGAGTGTGGTTTGAAATTTTACCTTGTTGCACTATTTTGAGTAGTTGATTTTAAATACAGATACTAATATCATTACAGAAACTCTCAAAGAAACCTAAAGTTTTGCTTTAATAAAATATTTAATATTTTACTTTGAATAAAGCATTTTAAAATTTACTTTAAATAAGATCATTCTTACACAATTTTCCTTTCCTGCCACCACCTTCCCAACACACACGCACACACACCCCCCCACAACCCAGGTGTTACAAGTGCTCCCATGTGCACACTAGTGCTCTGTTTAAAGGTTATAAACATTTGTACACTTAACAACATTTGTAGATCTTATAGCTCCTTTGGTCAAAAATCAGGTAGGAGCTGATTTCTTAACATAATCTAGTTAGGGCAGAAAACTTGAGACTTACAGTTTTCTTGAGAATGATGAGGATTCTCTCTTAAATATAAAGTTTGGTCATGACCAAAAATTATAATTATGGAACTACTCTGTTTTTTGGATTTGGAGTGCTAACCGACATTCTTGCACTCATACTGGTAAGGGATTTATGTATCGGTTTCCTTGGAGAGATTGGCTTTTGTCCCAGTCTTGTTAGCTTTGCTGTCTGATCCAATCCCGATGATAAAGCCAAGATTATAAGAGTCACATTCAGCATTAATACCGGGAGAGTGAGTCGCCTGTCTTGAAACACATGCAGACAGTATGCAAATTGTGACCTGCTATTAGAATACCTGTTGTGAAAAGTTCTTTGTCTCTCTATAGCTTCTGAAAAGTACTCCATATTGTTGTTTTCCTTTGGAGTTAAAACTGACTCCTCCTGTAAATACTCCAAAGAATTGCATAAATAAGGTGACAATCATACAGTGATAAGTAGATACTCATACTATAATATTCAGTCTGCACTTTGTTCTGAAACAGCCCTTGAAATGCATAAGCTGTGCAAAGCAGCCTGCCATCTAGTAGATTTTAACTTTGTTCCTATTTCTGGTCTGTTAAGAGGGAAGCAAGTAGTTTTTTAAAGTAATTGCACTCGTTCCAAAACGTTGTCTTTAAGAGTGGGAAGAACTTTTATTTGTCAGGTCTTGGAAAATTGTCTCTTTTTCTTTTCTCACTCTTCTCTTGTACTTTTCTCCCTGTTTTCTTTTGGAGCAGGAGGCCCAGAAGCCCGCCTGTTATGCCTTTATCAGGGTGCTTGAAGCTCCCTGCACTAAAGCTCTTGAACCTTTGATGGCCCACCCCTCAATTCCCTCCCCCTTCAGAGCAGGGTACAAGTTGCCCAGCAGATAAGACTGACACATTCCGGCAGAGCTGAGCCCTGTGAGGGCCCGGGGGTGGGAACGACCTGCTCCTGGGCCGATGGTGTGATATCAGTGTTCTGCAACTCATTTGAGGACTCGTACTTAGGATATTAGCTGCTCCCATTTATTATCATGGTTAACATTTATTTTAGAAAGGAATGAAGAAGATACTGTTTTTGAGTGCCAGAGCCACCATATTTCAGTCATGTGGCCTTGGACAAGCCGTGTGGCCTCTAGGCCCCCGTTTCGTCATCTATAAAAAGCAGCTCAGTGGTACTATCTGTACCTTAGGGTTGTTGTGAGGACCGAGGCGAAACAATACAGATGAGGGACAGGCATAGTGCCTGACCCAGAACGAGCCCCCGTCTGGTGCCGCTGGAGCCATTATCTCTAAGAGGTACGGTCCCACCAGTGGGCATGCTTGGAGGTCCTAGGGGACGGATGAGTCCCACACAAACCCCAGGGAAGAATTTCTGGGCTTCAGAATTGAAAGGCTATTAGTTTGGCACTGCCAACAGAAAAAGATAATGTTGACCTTTATAAAATTGGCCTCCTGGGTCTTTTTTGTTTGACTCAAACCTAGAGTTTGTGAAGTAAGCCCCTCTGGCACCCCCAAAGGCCTCCATGCCCAGTAAACTGGGTTATAAACACCACTCAACCATTAAAGCCCAAATGAAGGCAAGTGGTATATGGTTACAGGTGTGATTAATGAAACCCAGACCTAGGACTAGCTGTAACTAGTGCGATTCTTTAAATCTTGAAAACGTCTGAGAACTAAAACACTGGGTCTAAGTCCTTTAAGTCAGGATGCCTCCTGGAGAGGGACCTTATATCCACTCACTTGAAAGTCTGTAGACTTTTTCTTAGTTACTTGTTTTCTTTCCCTTCCTATGAACAGAGAGAATTTTCCTGATCATAGGTGCTCTGGCTTATCTTTGTTTATTCTTTAAACAGGCTACCACATAATCTGTGAAATCAAAGGCAGACTTATCAGCAGGCAAAAATACTTTCTATCCTCCTGCGTGTCAGAATTGTTAAACAAGTTGCAAGAGCAGGACTAGAAACGGAAAGCCTTGAAGAGGTCTCATGGTTTGAATTCATGTGAATTAAATGCTCTTATTCTATGAAAACAGAAGAATTGCAATTGTAGGAAAAACTGGAAGACTGATGATGGAAAACTGCAGATTCGTTCTTTTTTTTTTAAGAGATTGTATTTATTCATTTTTAGAGGGAAAGGGAGGGAGAAAGAGAGGGAGAAAGGTTCATTTGAGGGAGACAAGTGATTACCATCTGGAAGATGTTAGAATTGGGGCCTGATGGGCGATCCTTCCCACTTTTGTATATCAGCTGTTCTTCCATATGTAAAGGCTTTCTTTCTGTAGCTATTTCATTACCTGTTTATCAGTGAGGGGTTTTTTCTTTTAAGTGTTTCATTTTCATTGGAACTAAGTTATATACCTAAGTTTAAACTAACATTCAGAGTAACAATATGACTCCTGTTCCAAAGAAGAATCTGATCCAAGTGCTTGTTTTTGAACTCTGTAAGATTTTGATCTTTGAAGCTTCAGTATACAAGTTTTTTAGTAATCAATTGCACTATTGCTATCACTGTTACAAACATTATTCTGTATTAAAACAGGAAGTTGTGAAAAGAATAAGATCTTAAAGAGGACTCTTACTTCTTTGGTATAAGAACTCACTAAATTTTTTAACAGGTTGTCTGAGATTGTTATTTGTTGGAGATAAGTAAAATTGTTTTATTTTTATATGTGAATTTTGACTTGAGATAGAACACAGTGTTTATTTTACCAACAACCTGCCTGGCTCCTTGTTGCTGTTACTGTTTCTATGAAAGCAGACATTGCTGGCATTTATTTCTTGGCACCATGTGGCACTACCTCAGGGCTTAAGGGGTGTTTGTTCTGTGCACAAGAGGCACTAGATAGTATTGGGTTGGCCAAAAAGTCCAGGTGGTTTTTTCCTTAAAATAAAAGACACGTTTTTCATTTTCACCAATAACTTTATTGATTTGGATATGTTGAGTATGTTGGCTGTCACATTAATTGTTCTCAATTAATGTCTCAATTTTATCACTATCAACTTCGACTCGTCTACCTGACCATGGAGCATCATCCAGCAAGAAATCTCCAGCATGAAACTTCACAAACCACTTCTGACACCTTTGGTCCGTCGTAGCACCTTCTCCATATGCTGCACAAATCTTTTTGTTTATTTGTTTTTCCTGCATTTCAGTTGCATTTTCACCTTTCTTGAAACAATAATGTACCAGAAACATTGAGTATTTTCTTCTACCCTCAATATGAAAATGGCTGCACAAAAATTCACCAATTTTGATAACTTTTTTAAAAAATGCATGCTGATATGGCAGCTATCACAATACAGCCTAACAAAATTGTTACAAATAAATTTAAAGACAACTAAGAGCTACTAGAGCCATTTTATGGAAAAAAAAACATTTTGTCCAACCCAATACCATATACAGCAGTGTGCTATTTTACTATGCAATGGTAAAATAAAATTAAAATGAAAAAAGTTAAGAAATAGAGGTATTTTTAAGCTCCTTACTTTTTAAAGAAGTTCCTAATACTCTTCTAAATTATAGATATTAATGAATTTAAAGAAACTCATTAAACATGTTTGGAAAAAAATATTTACCCACCCATCAGCACTGTCCTGTTTTTGCTAATGTTATTTCTTTGCTACATAGGCGTCTAAATACTTTAAACAAATGTGCGGTGATGAAACTGGAAATCAGTCCTCATCGGAAGAGAGTGAGTATATAAAACGTATACTAGGATGGGAGGAAGGGGACTGACCAGGAACTCAATGATGTGTTTTGTAATAGGGTTTTATTTTCAAACTTTTACTTCCTTGTTCTCCAAAAATAGACATTTTTAATGTTATAAATCAGTCGAGTTTACCAAAGACGGTGTAGCCTTGTGTAGTTGAAACCAATAGCTGCAGCCAGCTAATAAATTGTTTTTCCTACTGTATTTTTTAATTGGATATAATTGACATATAACACTATATCAGTTTCAGGTGCACAATTTAGTGATTGGATGTTTGTATATATTGCAAAATGATCCTCACAATATGAGGGGGGACCACCCCCCAAAAATGGAATTATCTTCTGGAGGGTGGGCCCCTTGTAGAACAGGCTTCCCCCACTAAGTGAGTATTCTAGGAACCCATCTGTATCAGTGCGCCAGCTGCTGTTGTTGTGAGAGGCTGCGTTCAGCCTCAGTGAATTTTTTTTAAAACTCTTTGAACGCGTTTGCCCATTTCCTGATGGGTGATTTATGAGCACACCTGCCCACCATGCTGTGTTCAGTTTTTGAATAAAAATGGCATGGCCCCCATGCCCCACCCTCCCTATTCACCCCATCTTGCCCTTAGATGGGGCTTTTTTTGTTTCCCCTGATGACAAAAGTCCTCTAAGGGAAACATTTTGCTGATGTGGAAGGTATGAAATAAAAAACAGCAGAAGTACTAAAAGACTTCAAAATAGATGAGCTTAAAAACTGGTTTCAGTATTGCATCAAATGGAGAGTACTTTGAAAGTGACTGAAGTTGAAACATGTAAGAATAAAGACACAATTTTTTTTTAAATACATTCTGGGTTTTTTAGCTTCCCCCTTGTAAGTCTAGTTAAATATCCGTCATCACACACAGTTGGAAATTTTGTTTCTTTTGATGAGAACTTCGAGATCTACCCTTTCAGCAACTTTCAAATGTCTAACACAAGATTATTAACTATAGTCACCATGCTGTACACTGCATCCCCAGAGCTTACTACCCTGTTCGCCCATTTCGCCCAACCTCCCCCACCTCTGGCAACCACCCGTCTCTTCTCTATATCTGAGTTTTCCTGTTGGCTTTGATGTAAACAAATCACCTATTTTGCCCCCTTAACTCAATGCCTACTCCATGGTAAAGAGATGGGGCCTAAGGTTCTGTAGTAGGCTTTGCAACGGCTCCCTGCAGGAATTGTAGCTAGCTCCCATATGTGACAATAAGTATGTTTCAAAGCTGCAGAGATTTGCATGAAGGGAGGGAAGGAATTGGGAGAGAAGGCGGGCAGGAAATCCCACACATGCTAGTCACGTGGTGACATGTGACTGAATCAGAAGGTATTTTCTTCTGTGTGTGAAATGTGAGGATGTTTCATGAGATCTTAGGAGAAGAGGTGGGCGTAGTACTGGGAGTGAGTGTCACAAATTAGAGTAAACAGGAATAAGTTCGGTCAAAGGACATACTTCTGACTGTTCAGAGCACAGGTTTTAATTATCCTAGAGTCCCTGACCTGCAACAAGTTGCCTTCTTGGGGGAGTTAAACCTTTTAAACAAATGAACTGGAACCTCAATACCCACTGAGCTGTGGAGACGAGGCTACAAGTCAGGGTTTAATGCTCTTGACTCATTGTCCTGTGAAACGTGGGCCATGTGGTATTTCCCACACCGGTGGGAAAGACATACATCATACTGAATCATGCATGCCTTCTGGCATTCCATCCAAAAGGCTCAGATGCAATAGCTTGTGTTACAGCAAAACCCCGAGTCCTGCCGGTAAATCCTGCAGATTCAGCAAGATGTTGCCTAGAGTTTGTGAATGCTGCACGTTGTCAGGACTGGGTACTTGTGAAGCCTTGTTGGATTGCCTGGAGGGGTCTGAGGCTGAAGCTTCACAGGACACTTGTGGCTTTAGCGCTACACCTCATGTCTGGCGGGGGAAGGAACGGAAAAGAGCAGGTAAGAGAGGGAAAGGTATTGGACTGAAGAGATGCGACGGCCGGCCTTGCTTGGCGTCTCTGTCAGGCTGTTGGGAGAGCTTGTGAACACTTAGGGTTGCTGGAGACTGCAGCTACCACTCTCCTTAGTGTTTGAAAACGACCTTTTTAATAGCCAAAGGGAATATAAACACACCCTATCAACAGACGGCAAAATTGGAGGCTGAGTAGAGGGAGTCCTACCCGCTCCTGCCTCCAGTTCAGAATATTTTGCATGCTTGGAATTTTCACAGATCTCTACGGTTTCCTCTGGGAGCAAATAAAGACCAGCCTATATAGATCCCAGAGTTTCCATAAAATAACTCCTGTTTAGCTCGAAACACTTAGTCAGGCTTTTTCCTGTTACGCTCTTCACATACATAGTTGTTATTTATTTTTTTTTATGATTAAAATAAAGATACGGGGCCGGGGGGTGGGGAGGCTCGACCCTGATGGTATCTTATAAGCTGCCTGCCCCCTGGACCCCGCGGCCTCAGCACATGGCATGCTCCCTGCTGTTTGCCTGTCCCGGGAAGACATGGCTCTCTTCTGTCTTTTCAGAGTGAGGATTCGGATGAGGATGAGCCTTGTGCAATAAGCGGCAAGTGGACTTTCCAGAGGGACAGCAAGAGGTGGTCCCGGCTAGAGGAGTTCGACGTCTTTTCTCCAAAGCAGGACCCAGTCCCTGGGTCCCCAGAGGACCCCCACCTGAAGAACGCCCCGAGCCATGAAAGCATGCTGACGGACCTCAGCGAGCCCCCGGAGGTGGCTTCTGTCCGCAGCCTCAGCAGCACCAGCAGCCTCCCCACCCACGTGCCCCACGGCGGGGACGCCGCGACACCCCGGACTAACTCCGTCATTAGCGTCTGCTCCTCCTCCGTCAACTTCGTAGGCAATGACGACTCTTTCTGCAGCCTGCCCTCTCCCAAGGAACTGTCCAGCTTCAGCTTCAGCATGAAAGGCCACGAGAAAAGTGCCAAGTCCAAGACGCGCAGTCTGCTGAAACGCATGGAGAGCTTAAAGCTCAGGGGCTCCCACCACGGCAAGCACAAGGCGCCCTCCAAGCTGGGGCTGATCATCAGCGGGCCCATTCTGCAGGAGGGCATGGATGAGGAGAAGCTGAAGCAGCTGAACTGCGTGGAGATCTCCGCCCTCAACGGCAACCACATCAACGTCCCCCTGGTACGAAAGAGGAGCGTTTCCAACTCCACGCAGACCAGCAGCAGCAGCAGCCAGTCTGAGACCAGCAGCGCCGTCAGCACGCCCAGCCCCGTCACCAGAACCCGGAGCCTCAGCGCCTGCAACAAGCGGGTGGGCATGTACTTGGAGGGCTTCGACCCCTTCAGTCAGTCGACATTCAACAACGTTGTGGAGCAGAACTTCAGAAACCGCGGGAGCTACCCAGAGGACACAGTGTTCTACATCCCGGAGGATCACAAGCCTGGCACTTTCCCCAAGGCCCTCTCCAATGGGAATTTCTCTCCCTCAGGGAACAACAGCTCTGTGAACTGGAGGACTGGAAGCTTCCACGGCCCCGGCCACATCAGCTTGAGGAGGGAAAACAGCGGCGACAGCCCCAAGGAGCTTAAGAGACGCAATTCCTCCAGTTCCATGAGCAGCCGCCTGAGTATCTATGACAACGTGCCGGGCTCCATCCTCTACTCCAGCTCAGGTGACCTGGCGGACCTGGAGAACGAGGACATCTTCCCCGAGCTGGACGACATCCTCTACCACGTGAATGGGATGCAGAGGATAGTCAACCAGTGGTCGGAGAAGTTCTCAGATGAGGGAGACTCGGACTCAGCCCTGGACTCGGTCTCCCCTTGCCCGTCCTCTCCCAAACAGATACACCTGGATGTGGACAACGACCGAGCCACCCCCAGCGACCTGGACAGCACAGGCAACTCGCTGAATGAACCTGAAGAGCCCTCTGACATCCCCGAGAGGAGGGACTCTGGGGTGGGGGCCTCCCTCACAAGGTCCAACAGGTAAGAGCTTTTGTCCCCTCTCCTGGTTGGGGCAGGGTACTCGGCAAAGGACTGCTTCTGAGTGTTGCGTAGGGGAAATGGGGTCATTTAAGTCTGGCATTCGTAGCCACGGAAATGCCTAAGAAAGAGGCAGACCAGGAAATCCTAACATCCCCAAAGAATGGATATTGTTTAATGGGAATATGAAGTAAGTTCTGTGGGTGGCTGTACAACAGCATAAATGTACTTAATGCCCCTGAACTGTACTCTTAAAACATGGTTAAGATAGTAAACGTTATGTTACTTTCAACATGAGTCCTCTTGGTTCCTGAGATAAGATGCCAGTGAGCAGCCCACTGCTGACCTCGCGGCTGCCTGCGAAAAGCCGTGAACTCCCTGACTTTGCCCCGCTCTTGTCTTGCAGGCACAGGTTGCGGTGGCACAGCTTCCAGAGCTCTCATCGGCCGAGCTTGAACTCTGTATCACTGCAGATTAACTGCCAGTCGGTGGCCCAGATGAACCTGCTGCAGAAGTACTCACTCCTGAAGTTGACTGCCCTGCTGGAGAAATACACACCTTCCAATAAGCATGGTTTCAGCTGGTAAGAGTTTGAACCGCTCCGTGAACAGCAACTGGAGGTGTTTTCGGTCAGCTCCTGAGGCTGTCCCTACACTGAGTGTATGACAGTCCTATCTTTTTAATATCTTTAGCGTGCCATCCTAATGCAGCCATTCTTTGCCTTGTTGAGGCCAGGATTGGTTGATGAGTTTTCAGCTCTCCGAGTGACAAATTGTCAGTTGATGGGACGAGAAGGCATCACTCTTCATCAGCTTGTTCAGGTGCCTCCTTCCCAGAGATAGGAATACTCCAGTATAGGTAAATATACGTACAGTATCAGGTCATATGAGGTCTGTCCAGAAGGCATCCAGCCATGTCATAGGGAAAATAGAGACATTTACTGAAGAAAATACAAGAAACACTGTACACAGGGCAATGACGCCTCAGTTCCCTTCAAAGTTGGACCTCACACAGTTCACCCAATCGCCATCAGCTGCCCCACCATATTTTCCTGAATCTCATCAACGGTCTGAAATCTCTTCCCCTTCAAAGGTGATTTTAGTTTTGGCAAAAGCCAGAAGTTGCAGGGCACTGAATCTGAGCTGTAGTGGGGCTGAGTTACCCAGGTGATTTGATGTTTCACCAACAAACTGCATGAGACCTGATGGATGACGGGGCGGGAAGGGAGGGGGGTTGTCGCAATGAAACTGCCAATCACCAGCTGCCCGTAGCTGAAGGCTTCTGAGGCATCTGAATAGTTTCCTCGGAGGAATGTTCAAGCTTAAGACAAAATTTGATGCAGATTCGTTGCTTGACTCAGTCATTGAATGCAATGACCACACAGTACAGATGTTCACTCAGTGGGTCTGCTGCCCCCACTGACCAGTACAGTGAGGTCGTCATTGTTCATGCAGGCGCATTCCAGTGCACTCTCCTTGGCTGCCAGGTTATATCGATGCCACGCAAACCGTTCCCATTATATTAACAGTGGCTGGACTTTTTCCGGATAGACCCCATATTTTGGAAAGAAGGGAAAATGTGAAGGTCATAAGATGTTATCAGACAAACTTTAAAATGCTTCGTGTACAATACATGGCTTTAAAAATTCTAGTGTATGTTTTTAGAAAGCATTTTGATGTGACTCTTTACAGCATCACTCAAAAGTCTGTGCTAAAAAGGGTTTAGGTTATGTTTTTTCCAACAAAAACTCTTAACATGGTGATTAATCTGAGAAATTCACTAGTCTAAGATATAGAATAAAATACACATGAAGATAAAATTTATCTGATGTACTGTCCATAATTATTTAGAAAAATACAGCCCTTGATGTATATAACTGTTGAGCTGGGTGGGTCATGGGTATGACCTAATATGTGCCTATCTTAATTTTTTTACTATCAGTGCAAAACAGAAATGTCTCTAGATTGACATCCCAGCGCATTCCACAGTGTCAGCTGGGTATCCTTAAGTCTTGTCACTAATCTGAGTGTTTATTCTCCAACTGCACAACTACTGTTTTGCTAAAAATGGAGGAGCAAGTATTTCAGTAGCAGAACTCTGTAGCAAACCAGAGTGGCTGGAGAGCCAGCAGAACAGCGTAACTGGGCTCCCCTCTCCCCAGGACTCGTAGTGAGTTTAACTTCAGCATCAAAGCACCTCCTGTTCAAAGGCTGTTATTATGTGAGCCTTGCTAAATACAGAAGTTGTTTGTTCTGAATGACAGAAATAAGTATTGACCGGTTTATCCCCACATGCTTCAGATTCTCGGTGGAGATCGTAATGTGTTCTTTGCACATTCCGCTGCTGGGCTTTGCTCCTCCGACAAAGCGAGTATTATGCACACTTATAGCCATGACACCGTATACTTAACTGTATGGAAATACAAATTTGGCCCTGCGTTTTAGTTTTACCTTTCCTGGAGCTATAAACAGTACCACGTCGTGGCTGTTGGGCAGTCCTCAGAAGTCATGGCGGTCTGTCTCCTGCTATGTTCCTCTTGTGCGGAGAGTCATATTTCCCTGCTGGCTATTTAAAACTGCATATTTTACATTCTTATTTCGGAGTTGTCCACCCCCCTTGCCACCAAACCCTCAAGAATCTGAAAGTCCATAATGCTTTTTGAGTTCTGGTCAGTTTTTCCAGTGAGTCAAAACCAAATGTAAAAGCCTCACATTGTGGGACCCACGGAATAGGGAGAAATTCGACACAAAATTCTTTTCCTGTTGGTCCTGGCCCTTTCTTACCTCATTCACAGAGGTCGTTTGTAGACCGTGACAGCGTTAAATGAGTGACAGTAGTTTCCTGCTGTTGCATATACTGCTGGGGCTGGACCTGGTTTCAATACCCCAGGGAGCAGGAGCCCAGCTACAAAACCCTCCTTGTTCTATTCTGTCGTCTTTAGACACCTGAAGATGTTATATTCTCCAGGCTCATCAGCTGGAGGATTTATTGGACTTCAGGTCATAAGCTTGGTCGCACTGTGGAGCTCTGGAGTTGGTTGTTCTATGTTTGACCAGCATCATGTATTTGCTGTTTGTCATCCAGCCTTACCTGATCCCTTTTACCCCAAACACTTTGGTCCTCATCAAGAACTTAGAAACGATCCTTGTCCATTTTCATGACAAAGGGGAGCTCGTTTTCAAACTCTGTTGTGAAGCATCTCGTTAGGATCTCGCCTGTTGTTTTCTGCTTCTATTCCTTCCTATGCTGCCATTTTGAAGGAAGCCCGTCAGTTCCCTTAAGAATATAGACCCAGTTCTCAGGGTTAACAGTATCAGAATCACCAACTGAGGAAATGTGACTGGTCTCACAGCCCCAGCTCTGAGGAGATCTATAACACTGTCCAGTGGGGCTGTCTGGGGTGGTGGAAATGTTCTAAATTTGCACAGTCGAATATGGTAGCTATTGGCCACAAATGTCTAGTGAGTGCTTGAAAGGTGACTAATACAACTCAGGAACTGATTTTCCAGTTTTAATTTAAATTTAAATAGCTGCCTTCATAGCACAGGTCCCATGGGATTTACCTTCGGAGATGGACAAGGGCAGACAGAGAAGTAAACATGTCATCTTCCCCGCCATGTTCTTTAAATAGGGCTGTGCCCAAGTTCATGAAGAGGATCAAGGTTCCAGACTACAAGGACCGGAATGTGTTCGGGGTCCCTCTGACCATCAACGTGCAGCGCACAGGTCAGCCCCTGCCCCAGAGCATTCAGCAAGCCATGCGCTACCTCCGCAACCATTGCCTGGACCAGGTGAGAGCCGCTGCCGGCAGGTCCCGCTCAATCGCGGGAGCTCAGATGTGTGCTTCCTTTTCTAGTTCTGCGGTGACGATGTTGTTTTCACCTTGACACTTAATGTTTTTCTTCCAACAGGTTGGTCTCTTCAGAAAATCAGGTGTTAAATCCCGGATTCAGGCGCTACGCCAGATGAACGAAAGTGCCATAGATTGTGTCAACTACGAGGGACAGTCTGCCTATGACGTGGCAGACATGTTGAAGCAGTATTTTCGAGATCTGCCTGAGCCCCTAATGACCAACAAACTCTCGGAAACCTTCCTACAGATCTACCAATGTAAGTGTTCTTTGATCTGGACGCTGTTGGAGGTGGGAAGATGGGACCAGCTGGTGGCCGCTTGGAAACATATGTCATCAGTTTATTCCCGGCCTCCTCATTTGTGGAATAAGTTTCTGTAGATTTATGGAATAGCACGAAAATAAATTTCCCTTGTCACCATTCTCTGATTACTGAAGCAGTGGTCCATCTTTACATTCTGATCCTAGAGATTCTCCTTTCCCTGCTTTCTAGAACAGGGCTCTCTAAGAAGCCTAAAAGGGCAGGCACAGAAATCTCTCTGCCTCATCTATGGAAATTTCAGTCACGTCACATCTCTCCAGCAGGACCTGTTATGTTTAAAATTTCACAGGTGTCTCAGTGTTTTGTCTTGATGTAAAATGAATAAATAATCTTTCTCTGTTATTCATCTCAGCTTCTGCCAGAAATACTTGGGAAAACAATACCCATGCCCTTCTTACTTTTAAGTAAAGCTTAAAGCAAACAGTTATCTAAATTAATGATCAAGATCAGGATTATAGCTTTTACAGCCATGTGTTTTTCTTGGCTGAGTGTAGGATTACAGCAGTGTAATTTGAAAGCAGCTTCTCTCCGCGCTCAAATTGTCTTGAGCTGGCGCGTTGGACTTTATTTTATGAGAAATGGAGCTGGTCTGGATTATTTCATTATTTGTTTCATCCTTTCAGATTTTATGAAAACACAGGTCACATTTTCCCCACCAAGGTATTTGTTATGTATTGTAACCATGGAGCTGTTTAATCAGTTTGTCCTATGGAGCTGCATTTGAGTGACTTGATTTTTCCACCACATGCCTTTTTAAAAGAAAGATTTGCCTGGAAAGGGAGACCTGAGGTTTGGGTTCAGCATTTTCTACATGTGTATTAGTTTATGGGTCGAGTTCTCAAGCATGTCTTTTTATAAGAGCCTCTCAGTAGGCTTTCGAAAACTTAGAGAAATCACTAGTCCACTACGTCTGTCGTTTCAGTTGACTGAATAATTGAGCAGCTCCCCTTTCCCTTTCCGAGAACGAGCAGATCAGTTAAAATTATGAGAGTCCCCGGAGATACTCAACGTTCTGTAAGAAATGCTAAGAAATCTCAGTTTTTACCCTCTTATGCATATCGTAGACAAGATTTTTCCTTGAAACTGAACAAACGCATAAGTGTATAATATTTTCAGTAATGGAGAACGGTAAATTAAGGATTTCTAAAAAGTCCTTAGAAAAGAAAAGGTGTTCTGAACACTAAACAAACAGGCCTCATCTGGAGTTGAACTCTGAGGTGGATTGAGGAGTATATTGGCATTGTGGGTGTTTAAAATATTTTAACTCCTCTACTGGCAGGAAATACTTGAGGGTAGTGACGCTGGCGCAACCCTAATTTCTTCCATATTAACCTCGAGTACACTTTCTGCAAGTGCTTGTTCAGGACTGGGCTGAGGTCTTTGATGCTGCTGTGTTTGCTTTGGGACATTTCCTTGCAATGCACATGGAAAATCACTGTGCTGACGGGGAAAATGCTGGTGTTGTGCAGATGTGCCCAAGGACCAGCGCCTCCAGGCGATCAAGGCCGCCATTATGCTCCTGCCCGACGAGAACCGGGAGGTGCTACAGACGCTCCTTTATTTCTTGAGTGATGTCACAGCAGCTGTGAAGGAGAACCAGATGACTCCAACCAACCTGGCCGTGTGCTTAGCGCCTTCCCTCTTCCACCTCAACACCTTGAAGAGAGAGAATTCTTCGCCCAGGTACGAGGCACAGATGCGCGCGCATGCGTCCTTGGGCAGCCTGAGGCTGCCTCCCTCTCCTTGTGGGCTGTCCCCATGGTCTCGTGCGATTCATACCTAAATTAGGCAACGAGCGGTTGGGCCTTCTTCCTTCACAGCCCATGTACCTCTCCTGCCCTCCTCACTCCTTTGTTAGCCCCGGGGTATGACTTCTTGAGCAGTGTAGTCACAGAGGAGAGATATTAGGGTCCATGCTTCACCATGGAGGCTGCTCACCCCCATGTTCCCAGGGTCCTCTGTAACCTTGTCATCATGCCCACTGCCAGCAAAGTCACACAGATTCACTGAACAGCTGGATGGGGGCTGAGAGCTTCGCTGCCTTGGCTCCTGCGTGGCCAGGAAAGCCAAGCTCCTTGAAAGGAAGTCACCGCGTCTAGAAAGAACAAAGGAGACGGTTGAGCCTCAAAGTTAGCACCTGGTCTGAGCAGATGGCTTGCAGAGTTTCTCCTTAGATGTCTGTGAGGTGGGAGGGGCTGTAGAAGAAGTCGGAGAATCTGGGGAAAAAACAAAGGCGGGTGTTTGACCGGTGCTTCTGCTGTCGCTGGCACGGGACTGCACCCTTGACATTCATTAAATTCTCATTTGATCCTCACAACAGTCGTAGCAGGTGAAGATAACGGTGGTATCTGTTTCACATAAGAGGAGAGTGGGACTGCGGGGAAGGTCAGTTAAGTAAGTTGATGGCCGGTGTCCGAATGGCAGAGCCGGTTGGAGCTTCTGACTGACGTGAATATTTCACATAAAGGCCTTATAGTGCAATGTGTGACAAGAGAGTCACTAACTGGATGGCCCCACCTGCCAGATCCATGCAGCTGATCCTGTTCCTTCAGCTCCAGAGGAATTGGACGAATATTTCTTAGCTAGGAGCTTGGGACCTAGTTGTGCTAGGTGAAGTAGCTTTGCTTCTGAAAGGAACGCGGTGCTTAAATATCAACTAGTCCTGACTGCTGATGAGACATTCCAGTTTCAATGGGATGGAGAACAGGGATGAGCAGAGGAGAGAGCTCAGATAAGATGAAGGCCCTTTAGGAAACAATGAATTTCCCCCTCACCTTTGCAAGGGGTCCTGTTTATTTAAACTGGGAAGAATAGTGACACTGTTTACCCCAGTGCCTCCCACCACAAGCTGCCCTATTTAAATAAGAATCTGTTTAAAGTGATCGTTTTAAATAGCCTAGATTTCATTGAAAATAGTCTCTTTCATAGTTTTTGTGTGTTGTTGATAAAACTGAAAAATTCTAATGACTGAAGTAAAGCTCTCTTTTCTTTTTTAAAGTTTTATGGGAGACAATTTATAATATTAGTTTTAATTTTTTTAAGTATTATTAATTTTTAGAGAGAAGGGAAGGGAAGGAGAAAGAGAGGGAGAGAAACATTGATGTGCAAGGGAGACATCGATCAATTAATTGCCTCTCGCACACCCCCAGCTGGGAACCTGGCCCACAACCCCAGCATGTGCCCGGACTGGGCATCGAACCAGTGATCTTTTGGTTCACAGGCCGGCACTCAAATCCACTGAGCCACACCAGCCAGGGCTAAAGCTCTCTTGAACCTTTGATAACAGATGAGCTCCAGTGAAATGGTTTATTTCTCTCCTTTAGATTTCCACAACAAACACACTGATTTTTAAATATATAAATATTTGAAGCTTCCCCCTCCTATTTCTTCTGCCTAGGGTAATGCAAAGAAAACAAAGTTTGGGCAAACCAGATCAGAAAGATTTGAATGAAAACCTGGCTGCCACTCAAGGCCTGGCCCATATGATTGCTGAGTGCAAGAAGCTTTTCCAGGTAAGGAGTTGGGAAATTTTGCTGTTTGTTAAGGATAATATGAATAGGAACAAAATCTTAAGTGCAATACTTGTTCTTATCTTACCAAAAGATAATTTCCCCAGCTGGAGGTTGTATACACAACCCAAGAATGTCATTATATATAAGCTCATTGCAGTTAGTACGTGTAATAAAATTGCCTACTTCCACATCCACTAAAAGCAACAAATGATATGAAATAAATTCTGTATCTGAGAAATGTGCCTTCATCAATGTAAGCCCTATTTTAGTCACTTATTCTGCTACTGTGATTTTCAAAGATACCTTACACAATCGTAAGCTGTTTAGATGCCTTTTTTAGGAAGATTGTTTGCATCCTTGTCCTACCCGGTGAGGTGGGCGGGGACTTCCTCCATCTGCTGGAAACAGGACCGGACTGCCTCCACCGCTGTGAGGATCCAGTCCATTGTTTCTGCCCTGGCACTTCCGTTGATGGGCAACGGGAACGCACACAGGTGGACCAATCTCTCCTTTGGGTCTCTCGTGCCCCTCACAGGTTCCTGAGGAAATGAGTCGATGTCGCAATTCCTACACCGAACAAGAGCTGAAACCCCTCACTCTGGAAGCATTAGGACGCCTTTGTAATGACGAGTCAGCTGACTACCAGCACTTCCTCCAGGACTGCATGGACAATCTATTTAAGGAGGTCAAAGAGAAGTTTAAAGGTTGGGTCAGCTACTCTACATCTGAGCAGGCTGAGCTGTCCTATAAGAAGGTATGTCATCTCCCTGTCATCGGCCAGTTGAGTTCCAGGGATCAGGACTGGGGTTCATCAGAGTTGAGACCCCATTACCAGTATAGCTGTCCATGGGGGTCTGGCACCCATTTCCTTTCTTGTAGAGCTAGGCAGGCTGGCATTCGGATACCCCAGGGAAAAGTGGAAACCGGCTCCATGGGAACCCTCATCTAACACTTGTCAGGGGAATCAGCCAGTCCGTGCAGTGCCACTGACTGGCATAGGATCACACAAGAGCCCTGGAATGTGTTACCAGTGGTATTGGGCTTTGGGGTCTTAATATAGCCTGCTTTGACTTTGCTATAATTTGGTCAGAATCCCCTTGCGCATTCCACTCTACTGTTGGGCCTTTAACGAGCAGGCAGCACTTGGGGGAGAAATGCACTTGTTGGGACTGAAAGCCCTATGAGGGCAGGCGCATGCTGTATGGCTTAGCAGGACACGCCCGTGGCAGGTATTTGTTCATACTGTCTCTCCCACCCTAAAAAGAAATAAACCCTGAGTGCCCCCTGGGGGGCGGTGCAGGCTTAGGGGTGCAAATCACGGACCCTCCTTCATGGTGTTGACCCTAATATGGGTCCCAGGAAGGCAGATGGAACACTTGTGACCTGAAGTGACACCAGTGGTTCCCTTCACTCTGGCCTACCCTTGAATATTCTCAGTGATGGCAGCCTGTTAAAGCCATAGATGGTTATTGGCTTCTAAACAGAGCACCATGTACCCAGCTAGCAACCTGCCTTCAAAGCCTAGGTATGTGAATTGTCTTAGCACCGAAAATTGTGTACTCTTATCAGGTGAGCGAAGGACCCCCTCTAAGACTTTGGAGGTCAACCATCGAAGTCCCTGCTATGCCGGAGGACATCTTAAAGCGCCTACTTAAAGAGCAGCACCTCTGGGATGTGGATCTATTGGATGCCAAAGTGATTGAAATCCTGGACAGTCAAACTGAAATATACCAGTATGTCCAAAACAGTATGGCTCCCCATCCTGCTCGTGACTACGTTGTTTTGAGGTAAGATCTTCCTCATTGATTATTGCAGCAAGGATGAGCCTGTAGATCACTGAATATTGTCTAATGGTAAAATTACTTAAAATAGAATGTATGTCTCCATAAAAGTGTTGAACCCTTGCAAGTAAGGAAAATGTTTCTACTTTTATTCCAATAGTGGGTTCATCCCTGAAATGGTGTAGACTGTTTTGGAATTAAACTCCGAAAGAGAGGCGCGTTCCATTGACTCTGCTCATTGGTGACAGATGCTTGCCCCTTTTAAGACTGATGTTCTTGTTAGAAATAGTGAAGGATGCATAAGCCAGGAAATAACATTTGGGTTCCAAGTGAGCTGTGGTTAAAGCTGATTTATATCTAATTCCTAACTCTCTGGAAACATTATTGAAAGAGGAATTCCAAAAATCTTTGAGGAATTGACACATCGTTAGTCCAGAACTTTTCCAACAGAGTCACACTCATTTAGATGCTCCTGCTCTGATGCAGTTGTGAAATGTAAAAGCAGTTTTCGGTCACACTTCAGATTGGTTCTCTTTGAAAGCACCGACCGTGCGGGCACGTGCCCCCGCTGGAGACGGGGCTCCGTAAGGAATTATCACTCAGAGTCCTTGCATAGTAGTCCAGCGGATGCCGTCTGCACAAGGCCGGGCCGCCGCCGACCCTGTCCCTCCGCCGTCTCTTAAGAATAAGGCCGCATTTTCAACCTGGCTTCCAGGAAATGTTATGTTTTCCTTCTGGTTCTGTCTCTGTAGGACGTGGAGGACTAATTTACCCAAGGGGGCCTGCGCCCTCTTACTCACCTCTGTGGATCACGACCGGGCTCCTGTGGTGGGGGTGCGGGCCAACGTGCTCCTGTCCAGGTATCTGATCGAACCCTGCGGGTCGGGGAAGTCCAAACTCACCTACATGTGCAGAGCTGACCTAAGGTACGTTCTCATCCTGACTTTGTGACGTGGTGAGGGTCATGAAGAAGACTGAGACTTTTTGTGTGATGCAAAGAATGGTTTAAATGAATACATGTGGTGTCTTGTGGCAAGATACCCTGTGAAGAGTGCTGCTGAGCACGTAACACCTTCGTGTTTCCTGGCCTTGGATACCGCTTCCCAATGTTGATCCTTTAGAAAATACGGCCCTGCAGTAATGTGCACATTGTGGTTCTGCCATGAATGTAAAGCCACAGGAAATGAGAGTCTGAACTAGCAAGCAGATGTTTCTCATTTTATAGTCAAAGGTGTCTGAATAATGTGATATGCCCCTGTAGTAATTAAGCAGCCCTGTATTCTTTGCTATAGATGAGTGTGTTATTCGTTTCAGAAAATTAGTGAAATTCAGCATTACTGACCAAAAAAAAAAAAAAAGTGACCCTCTGAAAGCTCTCTCCAGAGTGGCTCTCGGGTTAAATAAATTCTCATTTAAAATCTCTACACCTCAGGACTTCTGCAAGTATCCGTGTGCTCTGTGTCTGTTCTGTATGCCAGAGCTTTCCCTGAACAGTTTTACTCAATATCTGGATTCAATATGTCACTTCCTGACAAACTTCCAGTTCCCAGGGTGCAGCAGAGGTGCCGGGGGTTCCCTTGGAACACTAAGGGTGATCTTTACTCACATGTGCTGCTCGGGAAATGGACGTACGTTTGAAACGCCCTTCAGCTAGTTTCTGGGCCTTCCAACTTGAAGAATTCATCCGCTCTTCCTTTCTGTCCTAGGGGCCACATGCCAGAGTGGTACACGAAATCCTTTGGACATTTGTGTGCGGCGGAAGTTGTAAAGATCCGAGACTCTTTCTGTAACCAGAACGCTGACACCAAAGACACCAAATCCAGGTGATTACGGAGGCAGAGCAACTGTGTCCACCGTCTGGGTGTTTGTTTCTAGAACCCTTGCCAGTCCTTGGGGAAAAAAGGTTCTGCGTCTAATCCTGAAACAAAAGTACACATTGACTGTAGCGATTTGATGCATTTTTAAAGCTGCTTCCTGTTTATTGAAGGTCTGTGTTATAGATCTTGACTGGAATATATAAGACTGTGCAAAAAAAATGTATTCTTATGCGAATTGCTTCTGAGAAGCAAAACTATAAATACATTGCAGAAGATAATGAAGATACTTTGTTCTCTTGTGATATTGGTGTATGTGTACCTTTGTCATTTTATTTGCAACGTGTTGAGGGACTGGTGTATCCACTGGAATAGTTGGTACTCTTTGACATGTTTTCTCACTGAGATGAGCAAAGAAAGGTTTGCACAGAGAAGTGTGTGTATGTTTGTTTGTTGCTGGTTGAATGGCAGAGATGTATAAGGTGGGATGCAGTGTCTGGCACACTGAGACGCTTCCAAGAAAGATATTGGTGCATCGGATTCAGTTTAACTTGGAATATCTGACTACCCATGGATCCACCCAGAAAGAGAACCCCATTATTTTGGGGAGTTGGACAGCCTACCCTTCTCCATTTTTTTTCTGAGTTATTAAACAGAATCTTCTTTCAAACTCTTTACCTGAAAAATAATTGTAGTAAATTTACTCTGATAACCCATTTCAAACACAGTTTATCTCTAGATCTGATTGCAAATAGTGACGTTGTTTTTCACCAGAGTAGATTAGTTAAGGAATGAAAACAACTCCTTACTAGTTCTAAAGCAGTTTTGCTTTGGTTTTTCTAAAAAGTTGAAATGTCAAAACTAAACCCTCTACCCTTTACTCTTGAGTCAAGCATCAAAACGTTTTTACTTGTCACGAATCTTTACATTTTTATATTTATAACAGAAATTCTTTAAGACACACTATGCATGGGAACATAGGAAATATGTATGTGTCAAGGAAATCCCTGTTAATTTAACGCAACCACAAAGGTTGTTTGTAAATTGTTATTAACAGCATTTCTGAAAGCTGAACAGTTTTATTAATTGGAGTGACCTTAAAAACAAATAGGTTTTCAGGTTTTGACCTTGTTTTTGCTTTGTTTTCCCTTTATTTTCTTTTCCTTTATAATGATGCTGTTGGAATATATTTTAGTGGTATTGGCAAATAGTTATCATAGTAAAAAAAAACACCAAACAAAAGGCAAGTACAGCACAGTTTTTTGGAAGGGTGGTCTTTATTCAGGTTTTACTGTAATGGTAAAGACTGACTTAAGAGGCAGTATTAGTGAATTTATTTAGTATGGATCAAAGTGAATAATGTATGAGTGAGAGTTGTAAGAAGGATTTTTATTTTGTTATAAAAGAATTTAGTTACCATTGTCAGTGTTATTTCAAAGGTTCTTTGAAGAATTGGCGGGAACAGAGTGTTACAAGTTGAGTATTTTGGATATCAGTGTTCCTCATGAAGATATACTTGTATATTCAATTTTAATGGCTTTCAGATTTGTAAGATTATATGTTGTATATACCATTCTATTAAGACACATGTCCACATGTCCACTGTGCTTTCAAACATAGATTAAGCATGATAAAGATTATTATTTAAAATATACTTGTATTTATACCTCAGATAATCTTTTGGGTTTTGTACCTCAAGGCTTTTTTTTTCCTAATGTAAATACACTTTTCATGAATACAGTCTAAGAGAAAAAAATAAATAAAAGAAGAGGTTTATAATGTGCTCTGTATCTGTACAGAATATAATCGATAAGTGCACTATTAAATGTTTAAGGGAAAAGTCTGGCCTGCTCTCCTTTGTACTGACTGCATCTCTCGCCCGCCCTGAAAACCATGGACTGCAAGGCATGTCATTCTAGCATCAACCCAAGTGAAAACATAGAATCGCTGAAGGAAAAATCAGACTGCAAAGCATTCCAAGGCCAAACTGCAGCTGAGCCACTCGCTAACAAACAGGAAACCCTGGCGAAGGTTCGGGAAGCACGGAGATACTCTCCGAAGGCCGCTAGGAAATGATGCTGAGAAAGTTACAAGAACAAGCGCCAGCTACAGAAAGATGCTCACAAGCAAAGCCAAGGTCACCGATTCATTCCACAAAAGGTCTTTTTCCCACTGTTTGGCTTTCCTGTCGAAAGGATTTCTACCATATTTGACAAGAGGAGGTTTCAAAGGATGTGAACATTTGCAAGAACTCTGCTTGCGTGACCTAGGGTGATACTGCCACAACTTACTAATTGTGACCAATGGCCTAGACTGTAAGCTCTTTGAGGGCAGGGCTCTTTTCCTGCACATCTTTATACTCCCCTGCAACAGCTTTCAGTGTTTTGTACTTGTAGGCACCTAATAAATTTATTATTTGCTAAATGGGATTGATTGAATTAGCTTCTGTTATTTGAAAAGGAAGGAAATCAAGGATGCGCCTGTATTAAGCCCTCCCTTTGGCTCATCACTGCCCATGTTGAGACTGGAAATTGTTAAACCATATGGAACTTTAAACTAGCAAAGATGCACAGATACTGTGTATATATGGACGCTATGGATGCTGGTTCTAAATTTCAGTTCTTTACGATGGAAGTGTAACCAATTGCATTTCTCAGATAAAATGTGATGTTGATCTTAGAAGAGGTTTGGTTTTTGACAGATATTCACTGTGAGCATAGAGAAGGGGAAAAAGCCACCTTCATTATAATTTTTAAAAAGACACAACCAGACTGAAGGCTTTTTTTCATTTGCTTCTCTCTCCAGACCTAGTTTCTGCAGGGCTGAATGAAATCAAAGTATCTTGGGCCTGAAATCCTAATATTTCAGTTTGAACACTTCTGAAGTCACGAGTTACTAATGGGCTTCATGAAGTTACCAGGATGGAGGTGATGCTCTCGGGCAGCAGGTAGACTTACGTGGTTTGGGTGGCCCCATCAACTTATTCAAAGCATTTAGTCAACACCTAACTGTTTACCTGATGCTGCTCCGTGGTGAAGACACAGCTGTGAGGCAGACTGACGTTGCCCTGCCTTCCCAGGATTAAAATCTGCCCTCACGGATACCAAAATGGAAGTAATAACACCACATAAGAAACATTAGAACAGGTTTCTATGCACCGAGGAGGGGTACCTAAGATCTTAACAAAACTCAATGCAATTGCTAAAGCATCCTGTTTACCAACTTGTAGATAGAATTACTTGAAAAATTCCAACAAAATTAAATGGCACTTAGAAGAGGTATTTTATCATTCAAGGTTGATAGAGACAGATGAGATTTTTGAAAAGGAAAAATTGGAGATAATTCAAAGTGGTGCTTTCCAACATCACCGGTTAGGGGGGTAAGTGTGTGCAGGGAAGATAGGTAATAGAGGTGTGGGGTTTTATAACTACCTTCATGGGTCTCTATCACTTCTGTCCATTTCTACACATGTGTATTTAAGTTTCACAGTACCCCACAAAGCGTAGGTAGTCTCCATTCTAAGGTGAGCAGATGGCTTGGTGGGGTAGTGTCAGTTAAGATATCCGGAGCTGGAAGGAAGCTGAGGGTCAAGCCCAGGTCTACTGCCTCGGACTGTCTTCCATTTGCTGATCTTTTCCTAATTGGGAGGCAAATTTCTCATAGGATGAGCCAACCCACATGGCCTGAGCATCAGAATCAAGAATTTTAGGGCCCTCTAAAGGACCCATGGACAAAACCAAAGTGGGGAAGGATTGAGGGTGGGAGGAGGGGGTGGGTGGGGCTGGGGGGCAGACAAATATATTTGAATGATTTTTAAAAATTGAAAAAACAAAACTTTAGGGCCCTGGCTGGTGTGGCCCAGTGGGTTGAGTGCTGGCCTGCTACACTGAAAAGTCACCGGTTTAAGTCCTGGTCAGGGTAGATGCCTGGCTTGTGGGGGGCTGGGAGGGCCTCCTTGATGAAGGGCATGCAAGAGGCCGCCAAATGATACTCTTCTCGCACATTGATGTTTCCCTCTCTCCCTTCTCCCTAAAAATCAATAAAATCTTTAAAAAAAGAAATGTTAGGAAAATGAAGATCCATAGCAAAATAACCCCATTAGGCAAAGTCTCAAATTATTCCGTCACCCTATTGCTGAGACGCTTAAGGAGAAATTAAATCAAGATAAATATGAGGCCACAGTTTTGTTTCAGGATAATGATTGAAAAAATTTACAGAATGTACTGTTTGCAAATGGACTCTATGATTGGAAACGTGCAAAGAATCCACTTAGGCCTCCCTGTGAAACATAAGACGTGATTCTCCCCATTTGCAGCACAGAACAATTAGACGTGGTGTGATTGCAACCCACCCAACCTGTCAACCACATTGCTCCACGGGCGCAAGGGGAACAGTTAAAGCCGCGATACGTGCCAGTGCTGAGAAATGTGTCCTTAGGTGACGCAGAGGCGCAAACACCTCTGAGAGCACGTAGGCGAACTGGATGCTACAGCCTGCTACTGCAATCACACTGTCACATAGCGGGCACTGCAGCAGGTCTGTTTACACCCACGTCACCACAAACACTGAGGAATTGGAATGTGCACCCCAACCCACCGTTAGCTTTTCTTTTTGTGATGCAAGAGCCTGACTACCTGGAACAGACACATTTCCAACCTCAGGACTAGATAGAATCAGGCTGCCTCTCCCCTCAGGCTCCTTTGTTTCTGAGATCTTGTTTGATAACTGACCATTTGGCTCCTTTTTTTCTCTTCACCGTGCTTTGCATTCTTGCTCTTCTGTTTTAAATTCACCAATAATGAGCGAGTCCACCCTGAAACACTAGGCCCTACCATGTCCGCTCCAAAAGACACAGGACCCCAGGCTGCCTCCGTCCACCCCCACCCCACTGTGTGCCCTTTGCGGTGCCCTGTATGCTCCAGGGCCTGTAAGTAATAAATGTTTCTTTTTCCTTCAAAGTTTCCTGATTCTTTCTGGAGAGCACTTTGCAATGGCAGTAAGAAGGCCCAGGGTCCGTGGGCTGTCACATTGGTTTAGAAAGGGGAGCTGTCTGTGGGAAGCTCAGGGCCCAGGCGAGCGCCCCAGGCTGTAATCACAGTGCTACTCCCGTTGTGCTACAGCCGTATGACAACTGTGAGGCCACTAGGCTGTGGGTGCTTTTCAGCTCCATGATAATCTTAAGAGGACCACCATAAGGGCGTGTGTGCAGTTAGTCATGGACTGAACTGTTGTTGAATAGAAAGGCTGTCTGCGTCCACCAGCTTCAGTTTTGTGGTGGTCGCCAGGGAGAACGGGGCGGCAGGGTGGATGGGGGCCTAATACCTGATGAAGGAAGATGGTTTGACCTCAGGTGGTGGCACACAGCGCGACAGACAGATGTAGCACGTGTGAAACCTCTACGATCTCACTAACCAACACCACTCCGATCAATTTAATTTTAAAAAATTAAATACATAATAAAAAGGCTGGCCCCCTCTACAATGTTGAATTTCCTTCCTGGGCTGGGTGGTTTTAAGACAGGATGAGGCTCAGCTACTGCCCACTCATTCTGCACTCGCAACTGGGCCCCGAGTTGGTGAAGGAGCCGGGGAGGCCTGGGGCGGAAGGGGGCCCCCCGCAGCCCAGCCCGCTTGCCCCGGTGCACAGGTGTACACTCCCACGCTCCCCTGCCTTCTCTTCCTCCTTCCTCCCAGTCTCACTCCCCCCTCTCTCCTTTTCTTCTCTCTCTTATTATTTCTGGATTTCTCTCTCGGCCCCTTTCTATCTCTGCCCTCCCCTTTTCTCCCTCCCTGGCTCCCATCCTCCTTTCCTCCTCCGGAAGTCTACTCCTCTCCCAGAGGTGCCTCCCTACACACACACAGTCTTTTATAGGGTATTTTTACAGTAACTTTTTTGTGTTTAGATAAATTTAGATGCACAGATACCATTGTGTTACAATTGCCTGCAGTATTCAGTAGAGCCACAAGCTGTACAGGCTTGTAGCCTGAGAGCAAGGGGCTATGCCCTACCGCCGTGAGTACTGGGCTGGACCATCTAGGGCTGTGCAAGCGCACTCACTCTGCGATGTCTTTATGGGGCGCATGGTTGTGCGGTACTTACAGACTCTTTAACGTCCAGCCCGGTACCGGAAGCCCGCCCTGTGACTTCTTTCTATACCTCATTACGCCTTTCCCACCACACAAGAACATCGTGAAGTGCGACTGAGACATCTGTGAAGGTGTTTTGTAAAGCAAAGCCTGTTGAAAGGCGAAGGAGCCTTCATGAAAGCAAAAAGGAATTGAGCCCAAACGCTTTCCCTCACCTGCCAGTTGAAGCATACATTAATGATTATAAAGCAGAAATCCTAAACAATGAGATAATGGCATGCGTGTCATCTTGGTGTTCCATCAGGATGAAATTTGCCTAAGGAATTTAAATTCCATTTGCCTAAGGAATGCAAATTACAAAAGACCTCAAAGAGCCTGTGGCACAGGAAGCTCAGGTGGGTCTGCGCAGTTGCAATGAATTTGGGTCCACTCTCCAGGGGATGATCGGTTCTTGCAGGCGGGGAGTTTGCTAAATCAAGTTGGCAGCTGTAGCCCAAAGTAATTACCCTCACTGTGTGCACACAGTTCCCATTAGAGAAGCCGGTTGCCTGTCTGGGCCCGAGGCTGTGTTGACTCCTACGGTGTAAACACCTCTGCAGAGATTTTCCATCTCACTGGACTTTTTTTTTGAAAAATGAGTTGGGGCTATAAATGGTGCTCCTCACAGGGGATTGTCATTCCTTTCCTTCCCCATCTTATTAAGACACAAAGCATTGTGAAGCATTGTGGAAAACAAAAGCTTTACGTTCCTTATGACTCTGACAATGGCTCTCATCAACCACGATGAGTGGCTTGAGTGACTTGTTCCCATAAAAATAGTCTGATTCCCAAGGAAACTGTTTCAGAAAGGTTTGTAGATACTTTTTAAAATACAAAGGTGGTTGGCTCCAGGCTGAGTGCACTTGTTGGTCTACCATTTAGTAATGTACCAGGTACTGGGATGTATGGTTTACATACGATGAATATCACATTTAAATTTCCTGTGCCCTGGCTGGGTAACTCAGTTGGTTAGAGCATCGTCCCAGCTGCAGGTTCAAGGCTGCAGATTCAAGCCATGGTCAGAGCACATACAAGAAGTAACCGATGAGTGCATAAGTGGAAAAACAAACCGATGTTTCTCTCTTAAGTTAAAAAATAAATAAATATATTTCATAGTAATCCTTCGAAGGAAACTTACTAGGTAAGGAGGCCTAAAGAAATAAAGTAGCTACATAATACTTGCAAAGAGACTCAAGAAAGTCGACAGCAGCAGTATACAAGAGCAGCAGCGTTCGAAGTGCTCACTGGCCAATGTTGCTGTTGAGCACTTACAGTATGGCTGATGTGAGTGACTGAG